CAACAACGTCGTGACCGGAATCTTCTTCCGGTCCGTAAAATACTGGGAACTGCATGGAGATGCTGAAAGCTTGAAACTGAGTATGATGTAGCATAGTATACTCCAGGCGTTGTTCTGCAAAGGAAAGGTCTTGGTTGAATACTGGGGGCTGGGGTTGGTGTTATTGCCGTCCGGCACGGATGCCGGAAACAATAACAACAACAACAACGTCGTGACCCGGAATCTTCTTCCGGTCCGTAAAATACTGGGAACTGCATGGAAATGCTGAAAGCTTGAAACTGAGTATGATGTAGCATATACTCCAGGCGTTGTTCTGCAAAGGAAAGGTCTTGGTTGAATACTGGGGGCTGGGTTTGGTGTTGTTGCTTTCCGGCAGGAGGGTCGGAGCCAACAACAATTGTGACCGGAAAGGAGCTTCCGGGCTTTGAGAACTGGGGATGGATCCAGCGGAGGCAAAGCACAGCTGGAGTAACTGGGGTTGGTTGAATACTGGGGGCTGGGGTTGGTGTTATTGCTCTCCGGCACGGATGCCGGAAACAATCACAACAACAACAACGTTGTGACCGGAATCTTTGTCCGGTCTGTAAAATACTGGAAAAGGAACTGCATGGAGATGCTKGGGAATCTTCTTTAAAACTGAGTATGATGTATGATGTAGCATATACTCCAGGCTTGTTCTTCACTAGGTCGTGGTTGGATACTGGTTGGGGTTGGTGTTCTTGCATTCCGACCGGAGTGTCGGAAACAACAACAATCGTGACCGGAATATTCTTCCGGTCCGTAAAATACTGGAACTGGTAGTGGAACTGCATGGAGATGCTGGGGATCTTTCATATACTCCAGGCTTGTTCTTCACTAGGTCTAGGTTGGATACTGGTTGGGGTTGGTGTTCTTGCATTCCGACCGGAGTGTTGGAAACAACAAAAATCATGACCGGAATCTTCTTCCGGTCCGTAAAATACTGGAACTGATACGGGAACGGCTTGGAGATGCTGGGGATCTTTCATATACTCCAGGCTTGTTCTTCACTAGGTCTTGGTTGAATACTKKGGGCTGGGGTTGGTGTTATTGCTCTCCGGCRCGGATGCCGGAAACAATCACAACAACAACAACGTCGTGACCGGAATCTTCGTCCGGTCCATAAATTACTGGAAAAGGAACTGCATGGAGATGCTGGGGAATCTGCTTGAAACTGAGTATAATGCATGATATAGCATATACTCCAGGCGTTGGTCTTCATTAGGTGGTCTTGGTTGAATGCTGAAGCTGTGGTTGATGTTGTTGTTATCCGGCACGGATGCCGGAAACACCTTCAACACCGGAAGATACCAATCGGTTTTTCCGGAGGAACAGGGGGGATGAAACCAGCTGGGTCAAACTACCAGCTGGGGGGATATCGATGTGCTTGGAATAGGCTTGGTTGGTGCTTATTGCGTGGAGCCAAGGAGGAGGATTCTCCCCTTTGGAAGGGGATGTCACCATGGTGGATTCGGAAGCCGGAAGAAGCCTGTCAGGTAGGAATGTACGTAGGAATCAGTAGGAAATCTAGGGGATAATTTTCATAAGCGAAGTGTAATTTCGTGCGTTTGAAAAAGTTCGATTTGAAAATTATGGAAATAACAACAACAACATCGTGACCAGAATCTTCTTCCGGTCAGTAAAATACTGGAAAGGAACTGCATGGAGATGCTGGGGAATCTTCTTTAGACTGAGTATGATGTATGATATAGCATATACTCCAGGCTTGTTCTTTGCTAGGTCTTGGTTGAATACTGGKGGCTGGAGTTGGTGTTATTGATTCCGGCACAAACGTCGGATACAACAACAACCAGACCGGAAGAATACTGGAACTGCACGGAGATACTCCAGGCTTTGGTCTTGAATAGTAGGTCTTGGCTGAATACAGGGGATGGGGTAGTAGGTGTTATTACATTCCGGCACAAATGCCGGAAGCAACAACAACAACAACGTCGTGACCGGAATCTTCTTCTGGTCTGTAAAATACTGGAAAAGGAACTGCATGGAGATACTGGGGAATCTTCTTTTTAAACTGAGTATGATGTATGGTGTAGCATATACTCCAGGCTTGTTCTGCACTAGTAGGTCTTGGTTGAATACTGGGGGCTGGGGTTGGTGTTATTGCATTCCGGCACGAATGCCGGAAACAATAACGACGTCGTGACCGGAATCTTCTTCTGGTCCGTAAAATACTGGAAAAGGAACTGCATGGAGATACTGGGGAATCTTCTTTAAGCTGAGTATGATGTATGATTTAGCATATACTCCAGGCTTGTTCTTCACKAGGTCTTGGTTGAATACTGGGGGATGGGGTTGGTGGTATTGCATTCCGGCACGAATGCCGGAAACAATAACAACAACGTCGTGACCGGAATCTTCTTCCGGTCCGTAAAATAGTACTGGAAAAGGAACTGCATGGAGATGCTGGGGAATCTTCTTTAAACTGAGTATGATGTATGATTTAGCATATACTCCAGGCTTGATCTTCACGAGGTCTTGGTTGAATACTGGGGGATGGGATGTCAGAAACAGCAACAACTTCAACACTGGAAGATACCATACGGTGCTTCCGGAGGAACAGGGGATCCAGCTGTGGCAAACCACCACCAGCTGGGGGATTGATATACTTGCTGGAAGAAAAGGATTGGTTGCATTGCTTGGTTGCTTTTGCTTGGTTGCTTGAATGGAGCCAGGGAGGAGGGTTTTCCCCTTCCAAAGGGGATGTCACCATGGTGTTCGGATGCCCAAAGGTGCTGTTCAAGTAGGAATGTACGTAGGAATCAGTAGGGATTCTAGGTGATAATTTCATAAGCAAAGTGTAATTTCGCGCGTTTGAAAAAATTCGATTTGAAAATTATATTGTGTACCCCTCTCTAAATGAATGACCCCTAGTCATTCTGGCAATTAAATGGGCTTCATAGAAGTGCTTAGTTGGCTGGACTCCCAGACATTTTTGATACATGATCCACTCAGGTAAAAGAATCAATTGATTCAAATTTATTCATGTAATGATTTGCTTTTGAAAATAAAAGCAGATATTGCAAGGGCAGGGAAAGGGAATGAAATGAATTCCTACTTTTACCAGTACTGTACAAGTAAAATAATATTAGTAGTTCTAGTCAGCATCTACTTTATTTGGTGACTCCTCTTCTTTGTTCTTCTTGTTGGTGGTGAGGGGGGGATGACTAGTACTAGTATAAGTACCACTTGTATATACTAGTAGTAGTACTAGTAAAAACAACAAGAATTGTTCCTTGGTACTAGCAACACTGTTGGGGTCTTATTCACTGCTAGTAATTTTCTATGGTCATAGTCTTACTAGTAGTATCATGCCACCAGTCATAGAACTAGTGTGGATTTTCTGTTCCTACTGGCAGTACTAGTACTAGTAGTACTAGTCCTTGTTGTTGATGGAGATTTAAGGAAATGCTGCTGCTGATATGAGCCAAGGTCCTGGTACCACTAGTGGTGCAAATAGTGCAATTTATGAGGAAGAGGGATCATGACCATGTTTGTGTCACTGTCTTGCATTTTGCTGCAAAATACTAGTACAGCACTAACAGTGACAATGCTGAGTTGGTAGGTGGATTGGATAAAAATATTTTATAGTAGTAGTAGTACAGTGTAGGGTACCTTGTGACCTTGCTCGGCAGTACCAAATGGCTGCCAAAACACACCCCAGATTGATTGCCAGCTTTGTCACCATCCAATACTTTATAAAATATTTTTGCTCTTCTTTAAGGTATGTGACCAGCTTATTCCTTTTATTGGTGCTATCAAGTATATCCACCAACAGATTTTTTTGTTGAGAGAAGGATTTTACCTCAGTGGATGGTTTGTTTGTACCATCACAATGGCATCAACATAAGCTCCAATGTCATGATATCAACATAAACTCCAATTTAAAAGAATGGTGATAATGTCATCTATTTGTCGTCACCATGACCTCACCTCATTCTCCAAGTCAAGAAGCAAGTTACGTAGTCAAAGCCACTTGTTTGATAGAAGCCAGTAGTGTAGACCAAGTGCTGATATCAAGTTGCTGACACAACATTAGTAACTCATATGGTACTACAGGTGCATAAACTAGTACAATTTAAGCCACTGAGTCACAGATGTTACTAAATCAAGCAGTGATGCAGTACTATAGCAAGGATATCATGGGGTGCTGCTAAAAGAAAATGGTTCAACACAAGCCAAAGACCAGATGCAAGCTGCTGCTATGAATGGATCTATGGACTTTACCAGCAGATAACATTTGTAGAAGGATGCAGTTGCCTGACAGCAACTGGGGTACAACAGTGTTGTTTTTGTGTTGCCTGGTGATATGGTGGTAGGGATGACATGATTGCCTTTTGAAGCAGCAATATGCAGGATTTTCATTGTAAGTTTGATGCCCAAAAATGGCAGTACACAAATGACACAGGCATCTGGCTCATGGATATGAAATAAATATTTTAGAAAATGTATGGTGCAGCCTTGAAGGTGTTTTGGAATCCTTTGTCTGAATTGATATTTGCTGTTAATCTATTTGTATCACTCCTGGTTTCCCTTCTTGCTAATAAATTAAATTGTACTCACTCTTCCATTACTCTGAACTATTAGTGACATGTTTTGAATAGGATAGCACAGCAAGTAAACATTGCCTTTTTTCTTTTTTCTAAATAAAAAGTGCAGTTGTAGTACAAGTCCAGTCAAGCACCAGGGATTCACATCTGAGCATTGGAAAATCTTGAATAGCAGGGTTCAATGACACCACAGCTAGGAAATAGTAACACAGGTAGTATCCCTGAATTTTGATGAGGTAATAGATGCTCATAGACCCTAGGACACCCTATCAGTTCTGAAGCAGTTTGTAGTTGTTGGCATTTTTTCATCAAAATCAATAGTTCAGGGAAACAAAATATGTTCTGACACGTATATAATCCAGAGAATCATATGGGAATATCTCTTTGGTAGCTATAACAATAGTGAGGTCTATTTGATCAATGTAATTTCCAAATAATTTGAACAATTAACGGCATCGTTGATAACAATTGCGTCTAGTAACAGCATCAGTTCTTTATTCTTGTAAAGAATAGGTATGTTTTAATGCCTTTTCCAACTCTGCTCACGCATACTTCGTTGCAGATACTTGACGGATCAAGAGCACCTGTGGATTGTCACAGGGCGTTTTCTCACTGAGCGTTTTCTCACTGAGCTTTTTCACCATCAATGCTCCAATACTGGCAGGCGAGCACTCGGGAGCATCCTCTGGTTCATCCTCTGGTTGTTGAGGTCTCGGAACAATTGCAAATTCCATGATCGACTTCATTTGACCCTTGCTTGTGCTACTCCGAAGACCGTACTGGACTATATCGATCAAGTTGGGAAGGGCTGCTTCTCGTAGAAGATTCATTGTTTTGTGCAAGCCGTTCTCACAAAACATAATTTCGACGCGCAATAGAATGGAACCTTCATAGTCACGTTTATCTAGAGATGATATGGTGAATCCTTCCAAAACCGACTGTATTTGTTCAACAACAGCTTGAGCAGTTGGTCGATCTTTGGGCTTGTTTGAAATCATGGAAAGCACAAGTGAATTAAGTCTCGGAAAATCTACGGCAACGGTCTCCGTCCATAGATTCGGAAGAATGTGATTGCGAAGGTTGCTCAAAACTATATTGCGCTCCATCCCCTGTCAGATACGAAAGGAAGTCAATGTGAAGTTCACCGTAAGGATACTGGGTACAACTGCAAGGAGCCATTCAACTTTACTCGTTGCTTCAATTTAGTTAGTTTTGTGTTACAAACTTACCGTGTACATTGGATAGCACAATTCAAAAAGGATAATTCCGAGTGAATAGATATCAGTACTCGAATCATAATCTGAGCCCCCTTTCATCTGCTCTGGGCTGGCATAGGATCGAGTGCCAACTCCTGCAGTAATATCTGCATTACTGGGATTGTTCGTGGACCCTACCACGACGGACGAATCCGCCTCTCCGTCACCCTTATTGCTATCGCTCGACGCGCGACTCAAACCAAAATCACCAACCTTTACTGCTCCATCATCATCAATAAAAATATTGTTTGGCTTCAAGTCACGATGGATAAGTCCTTTACTATGCACGTGTTTGACACCTTGACAGGTTTGTAGAAATAAGCTCAGAGCGTACGGGATATCGATGCCGCCGATGCTACTACCTGATGGGCCTCTCCGCGCCTCTTCGTTCGACAGAAAATCTGCGAGTGTTTTTTGAGAGCAAAACTGCATCTGGATGTATAAAATGTACTTTTGAGATACGGTTGGTTCTGCAACCTTTTCTTCGATGGTGTTGGATTCGTTTCCTTCTTGTGTGGCATCGGATTGGTTTTTACTTTCCTGAGACCATTCTGACGTCGATTCTTCAATACTGGATCTTGAAGATCTCAATGACTGGAAGCTGATGGCATTGTTCATACGAGACTTGTTTCGGGGCAAAATTGTACCGTTTTTTATCGCCGATTTTAGCTCGGGCACAGCCTGATTTTTCAGACTTTCCTCTGTTGCAGAAGTTACAGAGTGCTCGTCCTCAGTACTGTTTCTGTCAAAGACAAACCCATAATCATCAAGTGCATCGGGAACACCAGGAATATTGTGGCTCTGACAACTAGAAGATGTGGCCGAATTTTGAAATACCGGCGGCAAGCCCCCTCCAGACGACGGAACGGTGGTGGATTTCGATTGTGGCCTGCTTATGACTTGGGTTTCAGTTCTTTCATTTCTCGCGGTTTCATCACATTGCTCACCTTCAGTGTTACTTCTGTCAAAGACAAACCCGTAGTCATCCAAAGCTTCGGGAACCTCTGAAATACTGTGGTTCTGACCACTAGAAGTCGAGAACGAATGATCAAATACAGGTGGTAAGCCCCCTCCGGAGCCGAATGGATTCAAAAAGTTATTGTTTGATTTCCACATAGGGGACCCAACTGATTCAGAGAATTGACCGGATCCAAAACCTTTCACATGAGATGTCCTCGTATACGACATCATGTAATAGTCACTGGCACCCGGAGTGCCGTCTGAAGGATTCTCGCTATCATTACCACCATTCAACTGTTCCCGTTCCAACCATGCAGTATAGTATCTTACAATATTCGAGTGGTCCAACGACGCCAAGGATTTTACCTCCCGCAGGGTCCTTTTCAGTCGATTCGTAAAATCTGACTGCGGTTGTTTTGAGTCGCTTCGAATCAATACCTTTTTGATAGCATAGTCTCTTTTATCTAACGGGTTCCGGCATTGAAAGACGCTCCCAAAACCTCCTTTGCCAAGTGCCCCAATTTCTTCAAACTCAGAAGCGTATCTCGTGTACTGGATCAACGGAATGCTTCCATCGATTAGTCCGACTCCATAGTGAGGAGTGGAATCGTCTACTTTCGGACTGCCGTTCGTAGTGGAAGTTTTCGTTGTTGCAGTCCTCTCTTCTTTCTTTGAATCGCTAGTGGTTGGCTGAGTTACAGATATTTGTTGTTTTTGCTCATTCATTCCAGGCATGGCCTGCAGTCTTACAGCGTTTGTATCTGTGGCTTCTTGCTCCTTTTGTTCGTAAATGCGACGATAACAAGACTTCATTAAAGACACGACACCAATAGCTGCTAGCAACCAGATATGCCATTCTAAACGGACCGACAACTCTTTTTGTTGTGTTTTATCGTCACTGTAACCTTCCGGAGATGGAAGCTGCAGATAATTTGACCCAACGAAAGAATTCCGGTTGTCTTTGTCATCTCTACCACCAGTAATGGGAGTGAAGGACTGCAAAGTCGGAGCTACTCGCTGCGTGTGGAAAGGAAATCGGATTCCATTTCGAAAGAGAAAATCTCTACCGTGATATAATCGATCCGTTCGATAATTATTCACGAATTCATGGCTGGTAATGTGACTGGGTTGTTGTTTTATAACTGCCAATTCCTTTCCTAGATCTGTAGGATTGTTGTCATCATAGTTGTTAGAGGACTGAGGCAGGAGATGCTTCTCGCCGTTCCATGATCCTGATGGTCCGGCTCCGACATCGTCAAGGACCGTCAGTGGCTCCCATGATTTGCCATTCAGTCCAAAGACAGACGCCACGGTCTTGGGAAATTCCCGGGTCCACATGATTTCCGGTGGTGGGCAGTTGCTGCGGGAAGACTCGACAGCGGTTATGCTTGTCCCATCTTCGCTGAAGAGAATGTCAGGTAGTCTCGTCGAGAAGACCGAATCACAGTCATCTTTACCAAAACCATTCCCGTCGGTTGTTTCTTCACCGGTCGGCAAGAGACCCTGTTCCGATGGCGGCAATAGATCCCCCGAGCCGTGTCCTCGCGGCGACCGCGGTCGCCCCCCCTGATCGTCAGACTCACCGAACTCCAGTCCTCGCAATGTAGCCCACGTAACGTTCCAGACGGGTTCACCGTTGTCGGTGCTGATTTGTTGGACAACGACGTCTTCGCGCTGCAACAAAACCGTGCTTTGAGTTTGATCTTTCTTTTTTCTTCCAGAGGATGATGCATTGGGATTCGTATGATCATTATCGCCGTGAGCGGTTTCGTGGTCATCCATTTTCAGGGTCGTTCCATTAGGGTATTGATGCCAAACCAAGTTTCCAGTGAAAGAGTCCAAGGCAAAGAGAGAGATCGATTTGGTGGCAGTAACGATACCACATTCTTCCTTGTCTTCAATGTGATCGAGTTCGTTGTTGTTAATGTTGTCATCCCAGTAACTAGCATCGTCATAGCCGTCATTGCCAACATCACGATCCCATTTGCCATGGCTTGCTTCCGTGTTCCTAGTACTCTTTCCACTCTTCCAACAGGTCTTCGCAGGATTTGCCAGAATATCCTGGACTGAGATTCCGAGAGGTTTCACTGACATTCCACCGTCTCCAATGTCGTACAATTGACCATCTGGAAACGGAACGATTCTCCGTTCATAATCTTGATTGTTATTGTTTGGACTACCCCTGGTGCCATCAGCAAAGATGTCCTCGTCCAGGGGTTCCGAAGGTCCGGCCAGTGGTATACCCGAGCTAAATGCATATACTAGACTTCCGTCGTTGGCATTCAGCACCATAATGTATCCATCCACCGTACATATTACTAAAAACGAGGGTTTCGCTTTGGCGTCGATACCGTTCAGGTTGTTGCCATTGACCAATGACATTGGAATATGATCTGTTGTCTCTGTAGATATTGGAATGTCCAACGCATCCTCGTCGTCATCTAAATTAGAAAGTGTTTCGTCACCTTCATTGATTTCGAGAAGGAGGAGCAGGAGAGCCAAGGATTGAGAGGCTTCTGCTTCTGCCTCGGTAGAGTTGAAAGCAAGCGTTGTTTCTGAAGTTTTGTCGGAACCGGATCCCAGTTGTGTAGATTTCGATAATGATGATGGTGTTGCAGATGGTGGCATCGGTTGCGATTCTGTTTGAAAGCCGGTTCCGGAGCCTATTGCCAAGGAAGGAACAAAGGATATAAATGTCAAGCAGATAACAATCGCAGCTTTACAGACACAAAGCAATAAAGAACGTCTTCCAGTCGTCCATTTTTTTCGGTACGGACTGGCATGGAATGAAAAGCATGACGGGTGCCTGTCCTTCTTCAGAGGACCTTCTGCTATCCTTGTCGTGTTGTCTTTTTCGTATCCTTCGCTGGAATCATATCTTCGTAAGAGCATCGCACTCTGTGATGGGGCAATCGTTCAAAGCAATAACGCGATGGCACCTTCAGATGTATCTTGGTATGTTTTGTTGACCTCTAGGTGCCGGGAGGTTCTAGTCGAGACAAAACTCAGGAAAAAGACGGGAACCGGCTACCTTCGCTGCAGTTTTATGTTAGTTGGAATCCTTGATAATAACGGCAAAGTAACTTTTGAACAGCAGAGTTCACGGTTCGAAGATGTTGTCTACACTGGAACGGGTATCGTACACAAACAGGCATTCGTACCGTAACCCATGGGTTAGTTGTAGTAAGCGCACGGGGTCTTTTGACTCCGGAATCGTACGAGTTGACCAACAAGTTCGAACCAACAAATCAAACGCGAAAATCTTACAGGTGCCGCAATCATGTTACGTACGAAGATGTCATGCTTCGCAGAGAATTCTGACACGCGTTATTTTTTTCTAAATTAGATTTGATAAAGTATAATTTTGGAGTCATGCTGTGAGGAGAAAGCTTGTTTAGCTCAGTTGGTTAGAGCACTTCATTAGTAATGAAGAGGTCCGTGGTTCGAATCCGCGATCAAGCTTTTGGTGATTGTTTTTACAGGCCGGAGGGACGTTTAGGGGAAATTTCATTTTGTACTACCGTCCCATCAGGTCAACGCAGCCAATTTGGCTCTTAATGAAGTCACAGAGTTTTTGCATAAAGAAAGTATTGTGAGTGGTCCTTTGGAAGGCTGGAATAAGAAGTCCTTGGCATGAAGTCATTTGTTCTACTATCAGCAGTGTCTTACTAGCCGTAGTAGTGCAGTGTGCTTGTGCTAGTACTACTACTAGTACTAGTAGTACTACTAGTACTACTATTTGGTGCTGTCCACTAGTATTCTTACTACTAGTAGATAGTAGTCACTCCCACAGTATTAGTAGCAGCAGCAGTGTCTAACTAGCTGTAATTGCAGTAGTTGTTGTGCTAGTATCAATACTACTACTAGTAGCAGTAGCTTGTGATACTATCAGCAACTTACATTGCCAGATTGCGCCACTGGTGCTTCTTCCATCCTTCTAGTATCTACTACTAGATCTCTTGCTGCTGGTACTACTAGGAGTGCTGGTGCCCAATTGGTGGTTGGCACTGACACCTGCTTGTTCTTACTACTACTAGTACCTAGAGCAACTACTTCAAGTAGGATCCTTTCAGAATACTTTTTAGTTGTTTTTACTCACTGGAATTGTATCGGTGGCTTTTAATGAGCTACTAGCATCAGGCAAACTTCTTGTGTCAAGTCCAGTACTGAATGAACACCCCTCCATATCAGAGCACTGGAATTAGCGGCTTTGAGTACTACTGCTACTAGCAACAGAAAAGTCACTCACTTGTGCAAGAAGACTGAAGAAATAATTGTTTTGGGAAGAAGGTACGTCACACCAGTAGTACTACTACTAGTAGTAGCGTGCTACCAATGAAGAATGGAGATAATACTAGGATCTACTTAGGCCTACGGCAATACACTAAAATTGCAAATGTTAAATTTACATTCCATATTATGTTAATTTAAAGTTCCAAATCCTTTATAGAAAGTTCAAATTTTATTTTACAGTATGTGTAGTAATACAGTTCTTCAAGTAATTCTTCAAGTAAAACAACGATTTTTAGTTTCTACCATTGTATCGTGCAGGAACAGAATTCCTTTGTTGACTTCACGCTCGTGGGTTGTTGAGGGCCCTCTAAATTCTAGCTCGTACTGGGACCTGCGATCATGGAATTTGTATCCGATGAACCTTCCAACAACATTGGCGATTTCCCTCATGGTGCGTTTTTTTACTACAGTAACACATGATACTTGGATCGTGGCGACTCGCTTGCAATTGCCCACAAAGGAACGAATCGAAGGAGCACACATTAAAAAAAAACGAATCCCCGTGAAACAGTACGAATGATAATCCGCTTGATATTTCTCAACTCCGATGGATTCAGATCTTCGAAATGAAAAAAACGTGGTCACCATTGGCATTTGCTACCACCAGAGGGTGAAATGGGTTGTCCGAGCTCATAGATTGCGAAAAGACACTCTCTATATAGCAAGACAACAACAACGCGAATCGATCTACCTACAGTTCCATATCTCTGGTATTGACAATGCAATTTTACAGATCAAACTTCCTGTTATCCGTGTCTGTGGCCATCCATTTCTTGACGATTGCCAACGGTGCACCGAGCAATGATGACATTCTCTACCGAATGATTTCAGTAGAATCCACTAATGAATTCACGCTTCGTGCAAAGGATAGCATGGTCGAAGGTTCTAGGTTTGCTTTCAACAAAGAAGGATACGAAGGAGATGGTTTCATTGACTTTGGCGGAGCTGGAACATCCGCTTTTTGGTCGACTAATATCCAAGTTGAGGGAGAATACGATGTCACCATACGGTATGCCTCGAGGGGAAATCGTCCAGTAGATTTACTCATTAACAATAACAAGATAGGAACTTTTCAGATCAAGAAAGCCGGAAACGATTGGAATACATGGAAGGAGGAAACAATCAGAGTGAATATTCCAGCAGGAAAGAATCAGATTCTAAAGCTCCTAGCATCCGCCAACCCTGGACCAAATGTAGACAACGTTGCTTTGAAACTCGTCAGATCGCCAACGCCGCCATCTTCCTCACCCAACGACCAAGAAGAACCAATTGACTATGCTGTCATCCTCAGAGAAAACGAGTGTCTTCCAAAAGGTAGTTTCGAAGAAAGTGAAAATGGGAAATTCGACTTTGGTCTAGATGGTGTACGCATAGTTGTCAGGAACAAGACAACATTAGAGATTTTATGGTCTCTTAGAGTGCAAGGAGAGGAAGAAGCAACGTTACTTTGCATGGAGAGAAATGGGAGTTTGGTTACTCTGCAGGTCAAAGACTCTCTGCCTCTTTGTGATACCAAAGCAACAGGCATATATGAGCGTACGTACAGTTTTACCTTTGGTATCAACAACGTCGGAAAAATCGCTGTTCTTCTCGATAACAAACATTTGCTTTGGACGGGAGGATTAGAAAGTGACCAACCATCGGTGCCTCTCACCCCGAAACCAATGCTAAAACCGACATCCATTGCTACGGCGATCCCGAGTTTAGCTCCTACTCCAAGAATACCCATAGTGTCTCCAAATGCTTTTCAACCTCCAGACGAGAAAGACCTACAATACAAAGCAGTCCTGTCTGAAAATGAATATTTCGGAAGAGAAGAATTTGCTCAAAGTCTTTCAGGAGAGTTCGAAATCGGGTTGAGTAAAGCTGGTTCTCTTCTTGTTCGAAAGACCAGGAAGACTTCCGAGGTGGTATGGGTTCTTGAAGATTCTATGGGTCGAATTATAATTGGTGACAAGCTTTACATGCAGAATGATGGTAATTTGGTCATGAGGAGGGGAGATAACAGCGCCGTATGGACTTCGAAATCAGCAAACGCCGATGGGCCCAGTCAATATTCGTTTGGTATAAATAATTGTGGTCGTGTTGCAGTTTTTGGTGCTTCTAATTCGACGGATATTTTATGGACTGCGGGAATCCAGGGCAATTGCATAGATAAAACTCCATCCGACCCACAAACTATACCTCCAGTTTCAAACCCAATGCTGTCGCCATCGCCGATTGAGACACCATCACCAGAATCGAGACGACCGACTAGCGTAAGCTTTTCTGTTGTTCTTCGCTCGAATGAGCAATTGATTGGCAGAGGTAAATTTGCGTCTTCTCCTAATGGGCAGTACGAAGTTGGATTGGATTCGAAAACTGGCCGGCTCATTATCATGAGAACAATAAGCAATAACGAACTTTGGACTCTCAGAGACAAATCCGGGGATGAAATACTAAACATTAGTAAAATATACATGCAGTCGGATGGAAATTTGGTTATGAAAAGTTCCTCGAACGAGGGTTTATGGAATTCAGAAACCAGTCAAAATCCCGGTGGAGAATTCCGTATAGATGACAGCGGCCAACTATCTGTCAACTTCCAGGGAACACCTCTTTGGATCGATGGTCTTCCTCGAGCGATATACACAGGCCCATCATCCTCCGACTTGATCTTCCCAGTCAGAGGTTATTTCTACTACGCAGTACGTAGATTCTTTTGCATCTGTGAACGCTTTGCAATATATTTGATTCGTACAATACGTACTCTGAACTAATTACTCACAGTGATCCCCTTTGCAATTGAATTCTACCAAATCTTAAAATTGTCTCTGTCTATTCATTACAGTGGTACCCCGAAACGTGGACTGTTGGAGGAGAACAAGTGAAATACAGACCAAATCTTGGTACGATTCCAGAAGGAACGTATAGATCAGGTGACCCCGTCGTTGTTAAGAATCACGTAGAAGCACTTGATTATGCTTGGGCTGATCTTTCTATTGTGTCATGTAAGTTTATGGTCGATGCCAGAATTTCAGTTCTACCGTAGCAGATTTTTCCGCACCCTTGATCATTGCCCTAACCAAAATCTTTTCAACAGGGTGGGGACCAAGTGATCGCCTTGATCGCGCTAGGATTACCCAATTGCTCGACGAGACCGCTGATCAAGATTCAAGCATCAAATGGACAGTTTATTACGAGGATGAAATGAACTTCAATAAAAGTGTTGATCAGCTCATGGCTGACCTCGACTACTTGAAAGAATGGTTTGCCTGGCATGAATCATGGGCACACAAAGATGGTAAGCCTGTTATCTTTATATGGAATGAGAGTAATTGTGAAGTTGCAGATCGATGGACAGTGGCTGCTAAGAGTGCAGGCTGGTATCTTGTCTTAAAGCTATTCAAAAACTACCTAGATTGCACAAATCAACCTGATAGCTGGCACCAATATGTGAGTACAATATGATATCTTTTTATTGTATAGTTTTGGGTCAAAGGCACACTACCAGAGTAATAACTGTGACAACTATCCCATGAATGTTTGTCTCTTACCTCAAGGTTTTATATTCTGGATTCCACAATGACTTTATTTTTGCATCACAACAATCAAAATATTTTTAGGGTGTGGGTCGCACTTATCTTGAATACCCGATGTCATTTACTATTGGGCCAGGATTTTTCAGGGCTGATGCAGATCAACCTGAAATTTCTCGTGCTCCTATTGCAACATTTTGTTCTTGGGTTGCTGAAATGAATCTAAGCAATAAGGATTGGCAACTTGTTGTTTCATTTAATGAATGGGGAGAGGGAACAGCAGTAGAAAGCGCGGTTGAATGGCAGAGTGATTCAGGATATGGAAGCTATCTTGACTGCCTTCATGACCCAAATGTACTTTATACACGGGCTTAGAAGAAGACATGGTCAACTGAATATATCAGGAGATGAATGGGGTTTAGAGATAAAGGAAAACAACAATTATACCAATTTCTGTCCAGAATAAATAACTTACTGTACCCCAAAGAGCATACCTTGAGCATTATTCATTATGATCATCCTATTAGTAGTACTACTACTACTAAATTAGATCATGTAGTAGATCATCAATATGGATCTAGTAGTAAAATGCATACATTCTTACATAGTAAAAATCCTCCGAGGAGGTTTTGTGGAGACGCGACCAAGTTTTATGCACACTGATAGGCCAATCAAGGCCCAGGGCTGGACTCAGAGGACAAAAAACAATAGGGTCACACTGCCAAGCCTGTAGGATGGGGTGCTTCAATTCCCAACCCGTAGGCAAGTTATCACATGCAGTGATCAAGGAGATGTTGGTTCACAGTTTGGATGGATGAGAACCATGCCATGACCGTTTCAAAGCAGCACTGCCAAGCCTGTAGGTTGGGGTTTCTCAATTCCCAACCTGTAGGCAAGTCCTCACATGCAGTGATCAACGAAATGGGTGTCAAGCACACTGGCAAGCCAATTAAGGCCAGTCACGCCCCAGTGTGCGAGGACACGTAGTCAAAAAGAAAAAATCAAAAAAAGAAAAGGCAAAAAAAGGAAAGCCAAAAAAGAAAAGCCAAAAAAGAAAAGCCAAAAAGAAAACGTCTTACTTCCTTCACCAATTTACAGCTGCGCCCACCCAAAGGAGCAGCTGTGTGAATGTCTTCTTGAAGAAGACACTGATAATAAATCCTCTTACTCTGCAAACTCTGTACCGCTGTTTGCAAGGTCAAATACTGGGGTGTTGATGTGTCTGTCCATAATACAAGACAGGAACAACAACAATGGTGCTGTTGCTTTCTGGCACGGAGGTCGGAAACAACAGCAATCGTGACCGGAAAGCTCTGGGGCTTCCGGTCCTTGAGAACTGGGGTTGGATCCAGCTGAGGCAGACTGTGCTCAACTGGAGTAACTGGGGTTGGTGTCATTGCGTTCCGGCACAAATGCCGGAAACAACAACAACCACATTGTGACCGGAATCTTCTTCCGGTCCGTAAAATACTGGAAATGACACTAAAACTGCATGGAGATGCTGGGGAATCTTCTTTGAAACTGAGTATGATGTAGCATATACTCCCCGCTTTGTTCTTCATAAGGTCTTGGTTGAATACTGGGGGCTGGGGTTGGTGTTATTGCGTTCCGGCATGAATGCCGGAAACAACAACAACAGCTTCGTGACCGGAAACTTCTTCTGGTCAGTAGAATACTGGAACTGATACTGGAACTGCATGGAGATGCTGGGGAATCTGCTTAAAACTGAGTAGGATGGATGATGTAGCATATACTCCAGGCTTGGTCTGCACCAGTAGGTCTTGGTTGAATACTGGGGGATGGGGTTGGTGTTATTGCATGCCGGCACGAATGCCGGAAACAACAACGATCATGACCAGAAAGCATAGGGGCTTCTGGTCCTTGAGAACTGGGGATGGTGGATCCTGCTGAGGCAAAGCAGCTGGAGTAACTGGGGTGGGTGTTATTGTTTTCTGACACGAATGCCGGAAACAATAACAACAACTTCATGACCGGAATCTTCTTCCGGTCCGTAAAATACTGGAACTGCATGGAGATGCTGGGGAATCTTCTTGAAAATGGATTACATTGTAGCATATAATAGCATATACTCCAAGTTGTGTTTGTCACAAGGTCTTGGTTAAATACAAGGGGATGGGGTTGGTGTTATTGCATTCTGGCACAAATGCCAGAAACAACAACGTCGTGACCGGAATCTTCTTCCGGTCCGGAAWATACTGGAACTGCATGGAGATGCTGGGGAATCTTCTTTAGAACTGCTGAGTATGATGGAGTATATACTCCAGGCTTTGTTCATCGAAGGATTGGTTGTGGTTGAATACTGTGGGCTGGGGTTGTTGTTGTTGCTCTCCGACTGGAGTGTCAGAAGCAACAACAACCGTGACCAGAAAGCACGGGGGCTTCCGGTCCTTGAGAACTGGGGATGGATCCAGCTAAGGCAAAGCACTCAGCTGGAGTAACTGGGGTTGAAGTTATTGCATTCCAGCGCAAATGCCGGAAACAACAACAACGCCATGACCGGAATCGTCTTCCGGTCCGTAAAATACTGGAACTGATACGGGAACTGCATGGAGATGCTGGGGAATCTTCTAAATTGAGTAGGATATGTGATATAGCATATACTCCAGGCTTGTTCTTTGCTAGGTCTTGGTTAAATACTGGGGGATGGGTTGGTGTTATTGCAGTCCGGCACGGATGCCGNCTAAATTGAGTAGGATATATGATATAGCATATACTCCAGGCTTGTTCTTTGCTAGGTCTTGGTTAAATACTGGGGGATGGGTTGGTGTTATTGCATTCCGGCATGGATGCCGGAAACAACAACAACAACAACAACGTCGGGACCGGAATCCTCTTCCAGTCCGTAAAATACTGGAACTGCATGGAGATGCTGGGGAATCTTCTAAATTGAGTAGAATATATGACATAGCATATACTCCATGCGTTGTTCTTCACTAGGTCTTGGYTRAATACTGGGGGCTGGGGTTKGTGTTATTGCATTCTGGCACGGATGCCAGAAACAACAACAACAACGTCGTGACMGGAATCTTCTTCCGGTCCGTAAAATACTGGAACTGCATGGAGATGCTGAAAATCTTCTTGAAAGACTGAGTATGATATAGCATATACTCCAGGCGTTGTTCTTCAAAGGAATAGTCTTGGTTGAATACTGGGGGCTGGGGTTGTTGTTGTTGCTCTCTGACACAAATGCCGGAAAAAACTTCAACACCGGAAGATAGTACCATACKGTGCTTCTGGAGGAACAGGGGATGAATCCAGCTGGGGCAAACCACCACCAGCTGGGGGATATCTATGTAGAATAGGCTTGGTTACATTGCTTGGTTGCTTGAATGGAGCCAAGGAGGTGGATTTTCCCCTTCCGAAGGGGATGTCACCATGGTTCGGAAGCTGGAAGGAGCTTGTCAGGTAGGAATGTACGTAGGAATCAGTAGGAAATCTAGGGGATAATTTTCAGCGAAGTGTAATTTCGTGTGTTTGAAAAAATTCGGTTTGAACATTATGGGAACAACTTTCTTAGTGCCGTGATCACTTGTTATGATTCAGTGACGGGAACCTATGGATTAGTGCGCCAATCAATTGAATATTTGTACTGAATCTACTTGTGTATCGTGTGGGTACCTGTAATAAAATATACAATAATAAATACACAGTACAAAGTGCGTAGGATTCTACACACACACAAATTATC